TCGGCGGCGTCAGCAGTTTGATGGGCAAGTGGGGAGCAGCGGAGGCCTTGCTTGACGGAAGGTAAGGGGGAAACTGGGGATACAGGAATTGCCGGGGGGGGGGGTGTACAACTCGGAACACAGGAGACTGAAACTGGGGAGTACAGATTCAACAAGAACAGCTTAAAACAAACTGTAAATAACAATACAACACTCCAAAACCACAACACATAATACCCAACGAGGCAAGTGCCATAGCCCAAGTGTTTTTTTGGGTTTTTTTTAGGTTTATCTATTTCACCCCCGACCTCCCCGAGGGGTCCCCTCTCAATCTCAGCTGCCTCAGCACCCCCAGCCCCCTGCAGACCCCAGCCCCCCTCCTGTACCGCTTCTACCGGCACGGGCAGTTGGTGGGGGGCCCGCAGGGGTCCCCGCAGCTCCTGCTGCCCGCCGTGGGGGTCTCCCACTCGGGGAATTACAGCTGCGAGGTGCGCTCCGAGGGGGGGGCCGTGTGGAAAAGAAGCGCCCGGCTCGGCGTCACGGTGTGCAGTGAGTGCGGGGCTGGGCACGGGGAGCCCCCACAGCCCCCACGGGACCCCCACCTGGCTACATCCCTGACCCCCAGAAATCTCTCCTGTGCCCCCCGCCTCTGCCCTGTGTCCCCCCATCGCTCTCTGTGTCCCCTCACCCCTCCATGGGGTGACCCCATCCACCACATTTCCCCATCAAACCCATCCCTTCTGTCTTCTCCTCCCCCTACACTGGTTGCAGGCCCCCCACCCCCGGCCTCAGCCCTGTCTGTGTCCCCGCAGTGCCCGTGGCCAGNTGCCTCAGCACCCCCAGCCCCCTGCGGCCCCCAGCCCCCCTCCTGTACCGCTTCTACCGGCACGGGCAGTTGGTGGGGGGCCCGCAGGGGTCCCCGCAGCTCCTGGTGCCCGCCGTGGGGGTCTCCCACTCGGGGAATTACAGCTGCGAGGTGCGCTCCGAGGGGGGGGCCGTGTGGAAAAGAAGCGCCCGGCTCGGCGTCACGGTGTGCAGTGAGTGCGGGGCTGGGCACGGGGAGCCCCCACAGCCCCCACGGGACCCCCACCTGGCTACATCCCTGACCCCCAGAAATCTCTCCTGTGCCCCCCGCCTCTGCCCTGTGTCCCCCCATCGCTCTCTGTGTCCCCTCACCCCTCCATGGGGTGACCCCATCCACCACATTTCCCCATCAAACCCATCCCTTCTGTCTTCTCCTCCCCCTACACTGGTTGCAGGCCCCCCACCCCCGGCCTCAGCCCTGTCTGTGTCCCCGCAGTGCCCGTGGCCAGAGACCCCCTTTCCTCCCAGTCCAGCCCAGTGCATGTCTGTGCTTCTCTGTGTCTACTTGTCTCTATCTCGATTTCTGTTCTCCTGGCAAGTGAGGAAATTTGGGCCAGGCTCTGGTCCCTTCATGACCGGGCTCTGCTGTCTCCCACACAATCCCCCCCATCCAGGTTGTTTGTTGCAGGTTATGTGGGCTCTGCTGGGGGCAGTTTGAGTGGGAGAGTGTGCATGCAGGCAGAGAAAAGAGCAGATGCTGGCTGTGATCACGATGGAGGTGGCATGGATCCAAAACCAAAAACAAAGCTCTCCAAATAAATCTGTTTTTCAAAATATTTCTTTCTTCAAATAAAAATATACATATGTTTTTCATAAAAAAAAAAAAAAAAAAAAAAAAAAAGTGTTTTTTTATCAAAAATATTTCCTCCTCTTGAAATTTGGTCTCCACTTGGATGGGGCTGCCAGTCTACCTGGCTATGGAGTGCTATGTGGCTGTGGGATTTCTCCAGGTCCGGAGATTGAGGAGGATGCCAGGTGACCCTGGCTCTGGGGGGTTCCTCAGCAGACAGGTGTGCCGTGCTCCGGGGCAGTGCTCGGGCACCAGGTGTACCCTGCTATCCAGTGCCTCGTGGTGGCCAGGTCTGCCTGGCTCTGAGGCTGGGCTCGGCCAGGGATGGCAGGGTGGGGCAACCCCATGGCTCCAGGCACAGGGCGAACTGCACTACCCAGCTCACACGGGACTTAGCTGAATTTTGGCATGGCAGACCAGTTTTCCCTGGCCATCCTGGAAGTTCGCCAGGCGATTCATTGTTTTCATTGCCCCCAGTTACATCATCCTAGTGCTGGCACCGCCCCAGGGAAGCCTCCAAGCATGACTGGCACATGACATTGCCCTGGCAGAGGGGCAGTGAAAATGTCTTGGCTGTGAGCAGCAGAGCAGAGAGAAAGCAACAGGCCCAGGCAGCTGCTGCCATGGGGGCACAAACTC